AATAGTGGTTTACTTTTTGGGGGAAAGTAGATAATTGTTAGTTTGTTTATTGTGAGTGTGTTTGTTTGTTCTGGGGTTTTTCTGGGGGTGGAAGTAAGAGTTTTACGGTACTTGCAAAACAAACGGGTCGAAGATTCGAAGGGTTTCTAAAGAGTAATGTACAGAAGGAGCAAACCACAAGGGCACATTCACCACCCACCCACGTCAGGATTGGCTATTGTTCAGAGAGAGAGGGGGCAGGGGGGTGGGAGATAGAGGGATGGGTAGAGAAAGAATGTTTATGGAGTAGATGTGTTTCAGTACGCAATATTTGCGTCACTTCTTGTTGTATGATTGAATTGAGTGTACATTACTGCCATTGTAAATTACCAGGAAAATGTCTCCCTACGAGATTAACAATTATTGCCATTGTCATTGCCATTGCCAGAGTCAACACTGTTTGGTTATTTAAAAGGCAAGACCTCCGAATTTGACGTCCATCTCCAAAAAGACCTAGCCAAATGGGTTGAGAGCCTTACTTGAAAACTCCACAAAACAACCCATATTCAAGAACACGGAGTCGGGGATTCAAAAATAGGTCGACCTCTCAAAAGTACAACATGATACTATATATACTGAGCTAACGGTGGACCAACAGAGGGATCTTTGTTTGTTGAAGCAAAGAGAAACACATCGACACAATAACGATCATTTTTAAAGCCGAGGAAATGCAATACGGATAGAGGAAAAAGATGGAAAGACAACTACCCGCCCACTGGGAAATCTGTAACCCTCAATTAGATATCGTTAATTCGGTTTAGGTTGACCGACCCTTTCAACATAGTGAGAATAGTTCGGGAAAGCCTACTTGCTATCAATCTTCGATAAAAAACCAAGAATGAAAAATGAGAAAAATAATGGTCCATAGATATTTCTTAGCTAAAGAACATCAAAGGACGTTTTTTCTTTGTCAGTACGTTTTGTTTTAGTAAGAGTTTTATGGCACTTCCAAATCAATTAGGTCATACAAGAAACGAAGTTTGAGTTTGAGTAAAGAGAAGCACATCGACACAATATTTGTCATTAAGTGCTGGGTAAAAGTAAGCCGGACAAAGAAACAACAGGGAGGGGGAATAAAGAAATAGGACCTACCAGTGGCTCCCTTCATCCACATATGATTAGAGGCGTTGCAAGAGAATAACAAGCACAATAAAGAAGGTGGGGAGATTAAAACGATAGCTGCGTAAAAGGAAAGAAGGAGCAAACGACACGAGAGCACGCGCCAACCACCCACCTTTATGAGTAAAATGTTTCCTTTTCAGTCATAGTACACTGACTTCTGTACTCTAGATTAACAGACATTCGACCCGTTTTGTGTTCGAAGCCAAAGAGCGTAACCATTGCCCATGACATTACATGTATTATCATTCCTTGTTTCGTTTTTTTTTTGTCTTAATGTAGATGCTGTTACGCCCTCATCGACACACGGTCCTATCGGAGACAGACGTTAAACTAGGAGGTCCCGTCCCTTAAATAACCTAATCGTGTTGATAGGGGCGTTAAACCCATACCATTTCACCATTTTCATCGACACAACTAAGATCACTTAGAAGGAAGGCTTTACACCCTGTCTGCCGGGGTCATACTGGCCTGACAGGGATACATCTCAGCAGAAGCATCGAGATACTCGGTGCACATCTGATTTCAATTTGATTTTGGAAGCATTTTGCGACATTTGCAACACTTTTTTTTTTTTATTAGGCCATATAAGTGCGGAAAATAAGAGGCGTTACAATAGAGCAAAATATACAACCACAAAAAAGGAGGAGAGATGAGGACGATAAATGTTTCAAAGGAAAGAAGGAGCAAACGACATCAGAGCACTGGCCAACCACCCTCGATAAAAATGTCTCCGCTCTCGGAAATCGAACTTGGGTCTCCCGCGTGCAACAACCAAGCGTCTGACCTCTACACCACAGACGCCAATGACGAGATTCTGAAACTACTTTAGCTAAAAAGGAATAAGTATAGCTGTTTGGAAAAAGTAAGATGCCCCATCCAGGGTGTAATTATCCGTACAAGAAGTTTTGTATCCAGATATGTCCCCAATTGTCTCATCATACCCCATCAAACACTCGTCCGAGAATAGCGTAAAAGCAGATGAGTGACCATTTATCTCTCTTTTTGTACCATTCCCAAAGTCCATAAGAAGCAGCGTTATTAACCAATTTTACTGCATTTACAAGAGGTCACCCTTTAATTTGTCTTGTGTGACCGGCTAGTTTTCCCCATTACGCTACTGGAGTCATACAGACATAAACCCAGCTCGTTTTGGTTGTCAGCATCAACTGTCGCGCACAACCAGACCAACAATTTGACAAAGGAGCAAAATTGCCAGGGAGTTTACTATTTATGGTGAGATTGATAGATAGCACATAATTGGAAAAGTTTTTACAACCTACATCATGTGTCTACGACTTCCATCAGTCAGAAGGTGGACTTCGATGTCTGATTGTGGAGTAGGCGTTAGGCGTTTCGCCGTCGCACGCAGAAGACCTGAGTTCGATTCAGATGTTGGGAGAATTCTAATAGAGTATGTCGGTCTTTCTGCTGGCACGGTGTATACCTCTCAACCCGGGGCGGTCCTGACAGGCAGTGTCGAAACCTGCATCATCAATAATCTAAGTTGTGTCGATAGAGGCGTAAAATACACCTTTATTTTGAAAAGGCGGGCTGCTTCATCCAGCCAATGACGTCAAACTCCCCGCTGAGGTTAGTTAGCAGTTGTACGTGTATAGGATAAAAGTCCCTTTCAACACTCTAGTAAGGTTAATAGGTAGGACGTCGGAATTTAACGTCCATCCACGAGAGGACTAAGTCAAGTGGGTGGGGAACCCTACAAACTAGCTAAACAATACAAGATCAAGAACCATTTGTCCACACGTGCTCTTGAACGCACACATGTACAGGAAACAGCCGATACAAAGACATAGTAAAGCCAGAGCGAAGCACCAATCCTAAGCATTTTAGCAATGGTCAGTAGTGTATTATATGTCCATACATATATATGTATATATATATATATACATATATATTTATTTATTGCAATAGGTGTTTGTTAAACTTGGACACAAAAAATTGTGCAAAGCTTTCTCGAAAGCAAACCAACAGTCAAAATAAAAGAAGAGCGAAGTACCAATCCAAAGTATTTTTAGCAATGGGCAATCGTGTATTATAATAGATTCTATATATACTCTGTCACGTTTTTAAGTATACACACTTTGAAGCTCAATAAAACAAAATCTATGCTACCAATTACTTTCAAATTTACACACTGATTACGTGATATACCTGTCGCTGGTGAGCTGCTTTCAGATTTTTGAACGCGTGA